GCAAATCTGATTGTATAGGTTACTTGTGGCAAGGGACTTACCCATTCTAAGATTTATAGACCACAACAGTAGTTTTTCCAAGTTTTGCATTTTGCACATTTGTCTGGCAGATTACACTTACTTTCTTAGTCCCAATGCAAAAAGTAGTGAAAGAAACAATAGGTCAAAAGTGTTGTTCCATAGCTTTCTTTCTGTTCGACGCACCACAGTATAATTCGTAAATGTATCAGATAATTTTTGCCCAGTAATGGAAAACATCAAGGGTATTTGGGGCAGCTTGTGTCAAATTTATTTTTATTTATTTATTCAATTTATATCCCTCCCATATAGACCGAAGTCTACTCTGGAAAGATAATAATAATGGAATCATACATAGTACACACCGAGGGGACAAAAATACACTGACATAGGTGTGAAGTTGCCTGTTCTCCTCCATATACCCCAGAGACTGTGAACTGACATCAAGGCATCAGCAAACCTTCTCTGCAAATTTTATTCTAATCGGTTTCGTTCAGGAGACAAACGCAGCTTTATTCCTTTGCAGGTCTTTGTGAAGCCCCAAGCCCATGGGCAACGTGTAGATGGCCTGTTTTTGATCCGAAACAAGTTTAGGTGGAAATCTTTCCTTCTAGACTAATCCCTATGAAGCTGAGTGCCCCGGCTCCTTCCAAGAACCAGGGGTAGCAGAGGGTGGGAGATGGGGCGCCATAAACTGCAAGGCCAGCTGCTAAATTTGCAGGGTGCGTCTACCCCAGAGGGGTCTGTAAAAGCCCGTGAGCGAACCGACCGGTGTGGAGCCTTAAAGGGATCGGGTTACAACGTCTAGACTGATCCCTATGAAGCTGAGCGCCCCGGCTCCTTACAAGAACCAGGGGTAGCGGCGGGTGGGAGATGGGGCGCCATAAACTGCAAGGCCAGCTGCTAAATTTGCAGGGTGCGTCTATCCCAGAGGGGTCTGTAAAAGCGAAGGACGCCCGTGAGCGAACCGACCGGTGCGGAGCCTTAAAGGGATCGGGTTACAACACGCCTCTTTCCGCTCCGTTTGCGAGCCCCAAGCCAAGCCTAAAGGATACTTCGCAGTTCCGCTAATTAACGGCTAATTAACGGTTAATGAAGCAAGCCCGGGGCTAACTCGGATCTGCTGGAAAGCTCCTGCCGGGGGACGCCTCCGACGGGCTTTCCGCTCCTCTCTGCTCTGCTTGGTCCTCCCCATTAACAGCCCGCGCCCCACTTCCAGGGCCTTGGGGAGGGAAGCGGATCTGCAGCCCCATCCGGAAGCCTCCGATCCCGAAACTTCGGAAAGAGGCGGCCTCCGGCTCCGTTTCTTTAAAAGGAAGCCAGTGGAGGAGTATAAGCGTTCCGAGATGTCACTCTTATTTGCCCAGATATACAGGCCGGTCATAAGATGGGGTCCACAGGATTAACACCCCTCAACAGATTCCTGTCCCCCAATGGGGCGGCAAGAAGCGACCGGCTCTTCGGGTCCTCCCAGTCTCCGTTCCAGCAGCGAAGATCCCTTCTTTTTTCAGCAGACCCTCTCACTCCTACAGTTCCCACAGAAGTCCGGATTAAGATTCTTTCTTGGAGAGGGGGAGTCGTTTCCACCCAAGACCTACGGGTGTTTTTTTAAGCCCTTCCAACTGCCCCTCCGTGGTATATATGCATTTCTTTTGCCAACTGTTTTCCTTGAGGCAACCGCATTGAAAACGTTTGTTTTTTTAAGCAGAAATCTTAGAATCAAGGTTTACTAGGTTGAGGTCGCTTTCTTGCATTCAGAAGCCCTGGGCTCCTAGGGAGCCTGAAAGGTCATTCAGACCACCCCTCCAAAACAAATAAGGATCACAGTATAGTAGAAGGGTTTTGTTTTAAATTGGTATTTCCCCTGAAGCTAAATTAATGTTGGGAGACACAAGAGGTCTCCCCTCAGCTCTTACTTGGAAGTCTGATTCTGCCTAAGATGCTGTGCAGGCCTACATGGGAGTAAAGGCCTCTGAACAATACCCATCTGTCTTCAGAACACTGCACCCTCGCTAACGGAATACTGTGCCCTGTTTTCTAGAAGCCTTGGACAGGCCGCTACTTTTGCACTGGAAGATTTCTCCCTCTGTACTAATGTAGTCTACCACCTTCTGGGCACAACTCTTTCTTTCTGTCCTTCTGTTCCTTGGACCTCTTTTCTCTAGACGTCAAAGCAGGCTCCCTAGCAAAGGAACTCCTGGAACTGAGTAGCGACACCATCTTTTCGCTGCCCTTCTGCGCTGATTAATTAATAGCGATACATCCAAGCCTATATCGCTCCCCTTTTGCGAAGGTACATTGTTCTGTGCATGCAGGCATTTTCTTAGCAGCTCCCCAGACGTGGGATTGGTTCCAAGTTCACCCAAAGTTGAAGAATAGGTGGGGGAGATGGGAGGAGGTGGAGGATTTTGTTCTGGCTGCTAAACAAACTTAAAATAAACTCAGAGGTTCACCCCCCCCCTTTCCGCCTGCTATCCCTGCTCCACTGCTGGTTGGGGGGGGGGAGGCAATAGTTAACCAGCCTCCAAAGCAAACTGCAGAAACAAACAAACAGGGCTGCCTCTTTGAAAATAATCAACTGGTGTTGCTCAGGAATTTTTTATGTATGGGGACCAGACCACAAAGCCCAACAGCCATAGATCTAGGTTTTGTTTTGTTTGTGTTCTTGTTTAGTTTTAAACAAACATGTTGTAAATGGGCCCTGCAGCCAATCGCATTCTGGGCCTCATATCCCCCATTGGGAGTGGGGGAGAAAAGAGAAAAAGTACGTGCCAAGGACCAACACGCTCCTGTGGTGAGTGTGATTTATGAGGATGCATCCCGCAATTCAGCTGAAATATTTCCAAACTGTGTTTTACCTGAAGTAAATGAGAGAAACCCTGCATATTCCCAGAAACAAAGGGGAAAGAACCCTATCCTGCAAAACACAGTGTTAAAGCAGTAGTTTTGCTTTTTCTCACCATTGATATAAATCACTAGGAAGAGGCCATTTGTATTTATTAATTTTAAAACCCAAGAATTCCGGGATGTTGCCTGTCTCAGAGACACCCAGGCGTTTTCAAGTGCCTCTCTTGCACCCTGTCATTCTGTGCTGGTGGGAAGGAACAACACCCGGTCACTCCCTTTCTCCTCTCTGTCAGTGAGATGGATTTTTGCCACCAACCAGAATAGAGAAAAATGAAGGAACTAAACTAAAGCCATTCCTCAGTTCCTTCGCTTTCTAATTAACAAATAAATTAGGCCCACAGTTTTTCATCTTGCTGAAAGACCAGAGATCCTTGGAAGAGTTAAACCCAGCAGTTAAATCAGCAGACTGGTCCTCATTAACTTCAGCCGGGATTAGACAGAGTTTAATTCCAAACACTTTGGCCTAAATCCAACTGTTGGTTCCAGCTAGAGTAGATCAACTGAACCAGTGGAACTTTGGTAAGTCAATGCTTTTATAAGTCCCAATGGATTTCAGTAGGTCTGCTGGAGTTGGGACTGGAGTAACAACTAGATTTCACCCTTTTGATGTAAGTGCCCACCCAGTATCTTCCACTACTAAAGCAAAAGGATCCAGTTCAAAGAGTTCCACTGCACTCTGGTGACAAGACAGGCTGTCAACGCTTAAAATGGACACAAACATCAAGTAAACTAGGTCATAAAAAGTTAGTCTTTACTCTAGCATAGACACCTAAGAATCAAATAAGAGTGACAGATATGTATTCTGTATGGCCATATTTGTCACTGACGAGCCCTTACAATAAATAGGGTAGGGGGTGGTTGTGAGGTGAAAGTTTAAGGTGTTTTAAACTTCAATATGGTCTAAACCAACTATTCAGACCCACACACCATTGCCTCTGGAAAGGGTTGTTCTTATTAAAATAAGGAAGCCTCAGTGCACCATAAGAAGAGACACGAAATAGGGAAGAGAAAAGTGGTGTCCACCAGATGTGGACTACAGCTCCCATCAGCACTAGCCATCCCAGCCAATGATCATGGGAACTATGGGAGTTGTCATCTGGAAGGTGCTAGGTTCCCCATGCTCTCACCCAAATCTGCTTCGGTCTCTGTCACACATACACAACACAACCTGCTGCACTCCCGGGTTTGAGATATACATTTGGAGCCAAAGAGGTGCTATTTAGTATACCAAACCAAATAGGAGACCAGCTGGATTGGTCCAAAGGCCGATCCAGTCCAATATTCCATTCTCATAATGGCTAGATGCTGGAGAAGCCCATCAGCATCTAACAATTTTGTTATTACCCTGTTGTGCTAGGGTAAGAACAAAAATCAAGCACCCTCAAATTGATTCCAGTTTGCCAGGGTTTCCTAGCTAAAAAGTATTCAGCAATGCTTTACTATTCATTTATTCTGGGGACACTCTGTGACTGTGTATCTTGCCCAAGGCTATACAGACTGGCTCTTCTCCTAAAAGGGACACTGGGGAATGGAACTCCTTCTAATTCACTGAGCTATCCTGCCAGCTGTGTTAAGATAACATTACAATAAGCAGATATTAGTAATTAAATTAAATTGGCTTGTAACTGGTTGCAAGCCTGTCAGCAGTTTCCTACCACTTTCATTTGTTTTTTTAATGTCACCAAATATACACCTACTTAAACTTCTAGAATTTTTTTTTAAATCAACATATTGATTTTCTTCCCAAAGCAAAATAAATGAGAATGTAAGAATTCATTGAATGTCTTTCTTTGCCTTTCAGATCTATATCTAGTTGTAATTCGAGGAGAAATAGAAGATCCAGTGCATTTAGACTTCCTCCGGTTCTTGGCAGCTGAATGATGGTATTTTTGTATAAATCAAATAGGTTTAAATGAAGACAAAAATGAAGAGATGAGTGAAGCTAGTCAGTTTCCGGGGCATTGCAATCACAAATAAAGTTGTTTTGCCAATAGCTGTGAGGTGGAAAGCACACAAAAAAAGCAACAGGAGTAGGAGGAAGCAGCAAGCGTAGTGAACTTTACAGAGTAACATACCTGTTGTATGGGTTCCTCAAAAGTAGAGCCTGGCTGCCTGTGCAGCTGTCTGTAGGGGTATGACAGCCATAGACAGGGGGAGGCACTGAATACTGCTGGTCACCTGCAGATAAACCAGAGAGAAGTCACTCCCCTGCAGCTGTTTTCCATTCTCAGAGAGAGACCTGCTTTTGCAAAGATCAGTTGAGGGGCTTTCTCTAATCACACTAGGACTGAATTTTCAAATGCTGCTGGGGATTCAAATCTCACCACAAACACAAATGTCAGATATTTTTGTTTCTCAAACAGTCTCCCATTTCTAGTAAGAAATTAGTAATATTGTCAGCTTTGTACTAATGCTTTTCTGTGTGCATTAAGCAGTAGCTTCAGTTCTGATAGTGTGCTCTCTAAATGTTTCAAATACTTCTCAAAGGAAAAGCCATGAACATCATCCACCTTATGTCTAGGTGGGATCAGAAAATCAAGCATCCCTTTGGCTAATTTGTGCTCTAATTAATTTGTGTTCTAAACTGTGTTCTAATTAAGGTCATGAACATTAATTTAAGCACATTAGGAATTGTTAAAACACTGAAACTAAATGCCTTTTGCCCAAATAGTCCAGTTAATTTCAATGGAACTTACTATCTACACAGGATATTCTGCTTACTATGCATGTTTACTCAGAAGTAAGTTCCACTGATCAATGAAAGTAAGTTCTGGCAGAGTTTGTCAGATCAAGGGCATGAGTTAGGCTCCATGACTCCATTTAAGTTGTGTATACTGTCTTTAGTGAAGACAATAAGAGATAAATCTATTTGGTAGTTCAGCTAGAGCAGACACATTAAATCAATGGAATATAGACTAGCAATTGTTCCAGTTCATCTACTAGCTGAAATTAACTAGATTTTGACCAAGGTTCTTCATTTTTTTTTCAAAGTTCTACTATGAAACTGATCTTTCATCAGATATGATGGAAATATTTCTTTTTAAATTCCCAGTCTATTGTCATTTATTTGAGATTTTTTAAAAAATCAACAGAACAGTTTTATAAGTTGAGTATATATTGATGGGAAGGCTCACTAAAGGCACTCTTTATCCAAGTTACTATTTCTCCTAGGCTTCATCTTACATCTTGGGTGAGCATGTGCATACGCACACAGTAGTCTGTGAGAAAATTCCTTCAAATGTGACACTTCAGTGTAGACATGCATAGTGTTGTGCTATCATAATTTCATCAGTTCTGGTACAACTGCATTGACTTAAAACTAATTTATGATTTATAGATTTATAACTTATAGCTGTAATTTTTATATAAAGAACCCGCATTTTGTGCTTGAGCTGTCACTGATATTAAATTCAAAGAAGCTGTTTTTAATGGTACACCTGAGTCTACCAAAAATAGAGACATGCCTGGATATCTATATGGAATGTCATATTAGGATAACAACTGTGTTTTTTTAATTTCTAAACACAGAGGATCAAAATTGTTTGCCTCCCTTGCTCCCAGTATGCCTAAAGTTAGATTAGGTAAAACCTAAAACTAATAAATCGTCTAGATGAGATTATCTGAATATTTGCAGACCCTTCCTAATACCTTACATCTCAAGACACTACGTAGATAATGTGATTTCAGCATCACCTTCTTATCCAGTTTCTCCCTCTCCAATATCAAACTGCTTTTATAACATTTGGTCTATTTATCAAATCTTCAGTTTTCAAAAGGTCACACACATTTTCTGCCCCTTTGGTTTTGCCCAATAAAGACCTTACTAAAACAGGGTTCCATGGCCATCCCAATCCTGATTATCAGTACCACTATGGGGTTTTTTTTTACCTCAAAACCACATGTGTAGCTTCCCCAGATCCTAATTATCCGTAGTAGTAGTGTAGTGTTGCAGCTCCTAGAATGATGCAGTAGAAAATTCCACCTCCCATCTCTGGTTCACAAACCAGAGCAAAGACTTCTGGGCTGTCTAAACTTCCATTCCATTCCACTCAGGGTTTTTTAAAATTATTATTATTCTTCTCTCTATCTCTCTCTCTCTCTCTCTCTCTCTCTCTCTCTCTCTCTCTCTCTCGTGTGTGTGTGTGTGTGTGTGTAAGTATCGTAGCCTCAGCACAGAGGTTTCTGCTGCTGCCATTACCTAGAGAGGTCTGCTGGCCGATGGAAAGGGGTTCCTCATGTTTGAAGGAGTGGTTTGTGAACTGTGCTGTGTGGTGAGAGGGAGTGTGGCCGTAACTTGGAGTCCCATCAAACGCCACTGTGCCATAACCTGCCAAAAAGAACAACAACATGGTCAGGAACCAGAAGCTGCATTGCCTGCCCTTGAACTTTCTCACAAAGCAGCTTCCTGCACACACAGACACAGAGTCAGACCCCCTTCCCAGGCAGGCAGGCGTCAAAAACCGACAGCCTCCGCTTTTAGGAGCCATGGGTTCTTCTGCCTGCCAAAGCAGTAAACCTAGATAAATTGACAGAAAGGAAGGCCCAAAATAGTTCACTCAGAGCCTAGCCTGGTAGGGGAAGGAGGAGTGCTGGGCTTCCTGCCTGCCATTCCCCCTCCCCTGTGATTTCCCAGCTAAAAACCTAGTAACAGGTAGTCCTTCCTTGCCATAAGACCATTCACAGGTTCCCACTGAAATGACAGCACCTTGGCAGATTCCAGTCAAAAGTCTCTGCCTGTGCTGTGCCTGTGTTCCTTTTATGTAGTCACCTGGCCATAACACAGTTTTTCTCTGTGTGTCTCCGTGGGACTACGAAGCAAAGAATGAGATGTGCTATGGGGCAGTGGGGGAACCTACAACCCTAAGCACGTTCACAAAGCAATCCTAAAAATGCCAGCTCAAAAGCAAGTCTCCTGAATTCAATGCAGATTTAAAATAGGCATAAGGCTCTCGCCCTTCTTACCAACTGCAATCTGACTTAACTACCAAGTAATCTGATCAGAGGTATGTTTACTTGGGAATGGTTTCTGTTTCAGGACAAAAATGCCAGTCACATTGTCAGGATAGTAAAGCACACAGCTTGAAATCCAGTCTGAATCTGGGCTTTGGTGGGAATCTCAGGTTGCACCTAAAAGGATGGGTCAGCCGTTTCCCCGCAATGAGCAATGTTTTCATTAATTGCTCCTCATATCTAATGGGACGGGATCCCCCATCTGTTGACGAAACTCATCATCAGTTTCACATATAAAAATTGCTCTTTAATCTCATTTTCGTTGAGTTCTCACTTGTTTATAAGATTAACTTTGTGAAGAGTCTGCAATAAAAATGGCAGGCCTTTAAATGAAAAATAACCTCCTACTTTTAAGAGAAAATTGCTGCTTCAAATAATAATAAACAAACTATTTTTAAAAAGAAAGAAAGAAAAGCGAGTGAATTCATATGGAAAAGAATTGCCTCTGGTGACCCCAGGGTGAGGCTGAATCATAAATCAGGCATTCAGACACCAACTTTCATTAATTACTTGGAGCTAGTTAAACAACTTCAGCTAGAAAGTAATTAGATGGTAATATTATCTTGGATGCTTCTCGGCTCATCAGCGTTTTACCCAAAGGCCAAGGAATGCTTAATGTAGCCCTTATAACATCACTCTCGTTTTCCTAATCTCACACAAAGTGTTAGTTTAAATAAATAAATACTAAGGGGATTCAGGAACTTCTCAGTTATACTTAGCAACTATTTACTTCAACACCTTTCCTCCTTTAAGTTAGTATGTTCTTTAGAATATACATTTCACACACACAAACACATACACAAACACAATCACACCAAGAAAACACTTAATTGGCAACACATTGAGCGAGGAAAGCTACACCACCACTGGGAAGGTGAGCTCAGGCTGGCTCTGTAGGAAGAAAGAGTACAGCTGTCTGTTTGCTTGCCCCAGTTTTTCCAGAATATTCCAACAGCAATAACACAATTCATGGGACACTTTCGGTGGACCCAGTCCTCCCTGTTGGAAGGGCCTTTTCTCTAACAGACAAAAGATGGGTGGTGGTGATGGATGTTAAATGGGGCATGACAAAACATTTGGGGTGGGGAGAGGAGAAAGGGGAGATTTTCCAGACCACTCATGGGCAATGAGTCACTGACAGCCCACTTGCAACTGAATCCATGAGCTACTTAAAACAGGAGAATTTGATAAAAAGGCAATTTCAACCTCTGTTCTTAAGCATATCAACGCTACTTCAGACCATGGGCGGAATTCAGGGAGGGTTGACTACCTTGGTGTTTTCAAGGTGTGTGTGTGGGGGGGGAATCCTGCCGAGTTATTATTACCTGGAGGTAGAAGTACCACTGGAGATCCATTCTCTGAACAAGGTGGGTGTGACTCTTTCATGTCTTCCGTAGTTTAATAGAAAGGAAGGAACACTCAAGAGTTCAGTACTTATTTTAATCATGTTGTTGTTTCTGTGAAATTTCACTATCCCTGTCTTTATCCATCCCCACTGAGTGCCCACCACCCACAATATATACAAGTACATAAATCTGCGGCTAAATTTTTCACTCTGCGTGTCTGAGGAAATGAAGTGGAATCCAGAAAAGCTCACACCGGAAAAAAAAGTATGTTAGTATTCAAGGTGCCAAAATGTTTTCATTTTTTAAGATTATGTTTTGTTTTTGCTGTACAAGGGACAGTAAAGGTGTTCAGAAGATTAACTTCCATTTTATATATTATATGATTATTCAGACAATGACCACAGCAGAATTGAGAATGGGAACACCTCCGATTTCTCTCATGTTTGGCCTGGGTGCTAAAGCTGGATGAACTTCAGTTAGAATTCTACTCCTGTTTAACAAGTGAATTATCTAAAAATGGTTACCCAGAAATAAGAGCCAGGACAGGGTATCAACAACATTTTGTCAACATGCTGAAGCAAATCAGTGTGGCTCTCTTTGGGAACTAAGGCTCAGGAGATCTGAAATCTCTGCTTGGCTCTGGAAAGTCATGGAATGTGTGTGTGAGAGAGACCACGGTAGACCACACCTTCAGCATCTCACATGCTGTACCATGAAAACCCTTAAGTCAGAAGCAATGAAGCAACAATGGACTTCTTTACCTTAATCCCTTTCAGGTCTATTGAGGAAGCCTTCCTTCAAAGTAAAACCTGGAGGTTAAAATCTCAAGGATGTTTGTATCTACTGTATTTTTCTTTCTCAAACTGAACCCTCAGCACATCACTCAGAAATAAATCACACTGAATTTATGTGCATTTTTCAGATTAGTGAAGCTGAGCTCTCTGACCCTTTTCAGCTTCACTGAAACAAATACCTACAACCTGAAGGCCTTTACTTAAGAGTGTTGCCGATTTTAAAGGGTTGTTTCCAGGTCATGATGTCCTGATCCTAGTGTTCATTTGCTACCCTGAAATGCAAGGAGTTCACTGATGAGCCACACTGAAGAAAAAGCTCATTGCTGCAAAACCTTTCTTTTGCAAACATTTTCCCGAACGAGGGCACACTGTGCTCTGTTGAGTTGACTCCCGAGCAAGCCCCCATTTGATTGAAGGGTGAGGGTGTGCTGCATTCAGACGGAAATGGCCTTTCAAGGGATGCAAAACGGCGTTTGTTTTGTTTTGTTTTTTACAGAGCTGTGATCTGGGCTTTTTCCTCATCTTGAAAGTAACTTGTTGGGGGTCCCGATTGGCCTTAGGACAGCTCCCCGCTGCGCGCCGCCCACTCCCATCTTCTGCCGCAGAGAAATGACAAACACACCGGGGCCTGGGAGTAACTCAGCCACGAAAATGGGAGGAAGGCAAGCTGCTGGGTTCTCCCCTCTGTGGCCGGGGGTTGGCCGCCGGCGGCGGAACAAGGGACTTGGACGGGCTTCTCAAAGCTCCCGCTGCTGCTGCTGCTGCCGCTGCGTGTGCCTGGCGCTCCGAGGCGCCTTCCTCCCCGGCCCACGAGCAGCGATGACAGGTCGGTACCCAACCCTTGCACTTCCAGGCTGCAGCTGTTCCGGGCTCCCTTATCACCGGCTCAGAGCCCACAACGCAGAGGCTTCCCTCCTCCCTTTAGCCCTCTTTTCCTTTTCAACTTCTCCCCCGAAACATCCACACTTTCAAGTTTACGCTGTTGTTACTCTTGGCCCGCCGGATCGCCGCTCTTTTCTTTGGTGACCTTCAACGATGCTTCTGGGCGCATAAAAAGAGTTTTTGGCCGCGTTTCCCGGCGTTGCCTGACCCAAAGCTTCAGGAATGCGATAACGGGGGTTGGAGTTCTGAACCCGCCTCCAGATAGCGCGAGCTCTCTTTAATTAGGACTTTATCGGAGGCTGGGCTGATTAAAACGTGCTGAAAAAATCATTGAAATTTGGTCCGCTGGGGAAGAAGGCAAGCCTTCTGAAGGGATCCAATTGTTGGACGAGCCCAGCTGCAGGAAATAACGGAGGGGTCCAGGGGAGGGGAGGCGCAGAGGAGCAAAGGATTCAAAGGAGGGCAGGACACCCACACCCCACTCCCCGCCGCAGCCGCAGCCAAAAACTTGGCAAAAAGGCCAAGGTAACGGATTTCCCACGCTGGGAAAACCCGACTAAAATCTAAACTTCAACCTTGACTGATTCAAAGCAAGAACATTACATTCATTCCCCGAACATTGTTTTCCAGCTTTCCCAAATTCTTCCCAGCCACCCCAAAAACACAAACAACCGAGAGACACGAACAAGGTGAGTTTGTGTGTCTCTCTCTCACACACACACACACACACACACACACACACACACACACACACACACACACACACACACACACACACATGTCCTCTCTCCCTCCCTCTGAGTCCCCTTTCCCTTGTCTCTGTCATGAAGGAGGTGGTGGTGGTTTGTTTTATTATGGAGCTATGTAATTAAAATCTCATTACCTCTTTCTCGCCATTGTCTTTCGGAAATGAAAAACAAACCTGACTCTTTTTCCCTTTATTCAAATCAGCGTGATCTAAGTCGAACTCTATGGTGTTCTGACGGATTTACTTATTTGGCTTTTATGCCGCCCATCTCTCAGTCCTGCCCTGCAGCCCTGATTTCCTGATTTCACTCCCTTAAAAATCAGGAGTCCGGGCTTTTTCATCCTACCAGAAGCAGGTGCGCTTCTAATTAGAAAATTAGGGGGATGCAAACCCTGACGTTATGTACAATATGAAAGAAAACGATTTTTTCGTCTTAAATTTATGTATGATTATAATATATTTCGACAGACGTGTCACGTCTCATGTTTAGGATGTCTTCATACAGGCACGCTTTCAGAGACTCTTAATTGTTACTAATTTTGCAAAAGTCCAACTTGGGGCTTTAAAATAGAACTGATCTGATTTATTTTTTAAAAAATAAAAGCATTGTGGTTT